AACAGTCTTGCATGCGTCCCCGCGGAGGCACCCCTCGTCCCCTCCCCCAGCTGCCCGCGGCGCGCCCCAGTGCTCCACTCCAGGGGCACGGGGAAGAACGCCCACCATACCTGCATACCGTCGCGATCACCCCACTCCGACCGCGCACGACCCTTCAAAGGCTCCAGTAAGGGCTACCGGTCGCGGCCCCGCCCCGCCCCCTCCTCACACACCCGAGGGAACTCATGTTCAGAAATGACCGGTGTGACATATCCATTCCGTCGCGATCACCCCACTCCGACCGCGCACGACCCTTCAAAGGCTCCAGTAAGGGCTACCGGTCGCGACCCCGCCCCGCCCCCTCCTCATCCCATCTACCCCGCGCTGGTCCTCGGAGGGCCCGGGCTAGAGAGAGAGGGGGAGAGAGAGATAGAGAGAGCGAGAGATGTTGCCGGCATCGCATAATTCCCCAATTTGGCAATGAGAGCCATATCGGCCCGCGTCCAATTCAGCAACAGTGATATCTGCGTTGTTTGACAACAGAGCGCGGCTGATATGCGACGGAATCGCCGCACCTCTATAGGTTCGAGGGAATCGCGGGCAGTAGTGAGTCGAAAAGGTGTACACACTGATTACGATTCCAGCCATCGATAATTTTAAAGGGTCTATCACCCAAGACTTTCTTGGAAACTAGTTTATATTGATGCTAACAAAGTCGGGGGTTTACACTGGAAAAACAAAGGTGTGATGTCCTACCTTTTCAGGAGTGTTAAACTCTTTTTAGGGGTGCTAAGAGTATGTTTTCAGTTTCTTCAAAATATTTTATATATGAGCCAACCAATCACATTTTGAGATTCATTATCGCATTCCTCGCAAAATTCCGCGTCAAACGAGCCTACATGTGATAGGGTTCAGATAAGCGGTCAGCAAATGAAAAGCAAGTCAAAAAGTACAAAAAATGAAATCAATCTATGAGTTTGGCATTTTCACGCGGTGTCCTTAATCCATGACACCGAAATATCTGGATAATTTGGATGAGAGTTGTTGTGAGGGGCGGGGTTCCGATTGGGACTGGTGATGAAGACGAAACAGTTACCTCTTGGCACCAGTCCCAATCGGAACCCCGCACCTCAAAACAACTCCCATCCAAATTATCCAGATATTGCGGTGTCATGGATTAAGGACACGGCGTGAAAATGCCAAACTCATAGTGTTATCGGCTTCCGTTGCCCCTCTCTCCTTGTGTACCTCACCTATGCTCCCGCCTCCCCTCCCCCCTTCTCTCTCCGTCTCTCTCTGTTCCTCCCGCGCACACTACTTTCTCGATAACACGCTCCGTCTTGTGCTGTGTCACGGCGACCCGCGCCGCTCGACCAATCCCGTGAGGGGAGTCCGCACGAGATGCCGTCACTCTGATGTCATCGCTCAGCTGATTGGTCGAGCGAGCCGGGTGGGGCCGGGCGGAGCCGGGCGCGGGGAAGTAGTAGTAGTAGTAGTCGAATGGGGCTGCCCTGGCTCCATAATCGCAGACGGCGCGTCGGCGCGCGCTCGTGAGAGAGAGAGAGAGAGAGAGAGAGAGAGAGAGAGAGAGAGA